GCCTAGTATCCCAGCTTTTCAGCACGTTTGACAAAAGGAGAATTCTAAGTTCCAAGGACTTCCTGGGCTACTGAGTGAGCCCAAAGCCAGCCTGGACAACTCGGTGAAATGCTGCCTCGAAATAAAAACTAACTAACGAAAACAAATAAATAACAGCTGAGGCTATAGCTCAGTTAGTAGAGCGCCTGCCTAACAAACATGAATCCCCGGGTTCTATCCCCAGCACTGAATAAAACGAGCCATCTCAACTCTGAGGAGGTGGAGGCACCAAATATCAGGAGTTCAAGGATATCCTCAGAATCCAGTTAATACCAACTCAGGAGGCGAGGCAGGCAGATCTCCAATGGGGGATGTCCTTCTGTATATACGTTTCTGCTATTGGTTGATGAATAAAACACTAACTGGCCAGTAGCCAGGCAGGAAGTATAGGTGGGGCTATGAGATGAGGAGAATTCTGGGGAGAGGAGGCAGAGAGAAGCCTCCAGAGCAGATGCCATGTAGCTGCTGAGGGAGCAAGATTCTCCCGTAAGATAAGACCATGTGGAAATACTTAACCATTTGGGTTAATAATTAAGAGAGAACTAGCCAATAAAAATCCTAAGTCATCGGCCAAAAAATTTTATAATTAATATAAGTCTCCGTGTGTTTATTTGGGGCTAAACAGCTGTGAGATCAGGTGGAACAGAAACTGTGTCTACATAATATCACTAATTTATTTAAGCCACAGAAAAACCCTGTCTCAAAAAACAAAACAAAACAACAACAACAAAAACAGCAAAAAAAAAAAAAAAGAAACCTGAGCAGTCATTGGCCAAACAGTTTAATAATTAATATAGCATCTGTGTGTTTATTTGGGGCTACATGGCTGTGGGACCAGGCGAAACAGAAACTGTGTCTACAGAGCTCTCTGAACTCAAGGCCAGCCTGGTCTACACATTGAGTTCCAGGACAGCCAGGGCTACACAGAGAAACCCTGTCTCAACAACAACAACAACAAAAAAACAAAAACAAAAACAAAAACGGGCTGTCCTATCTACATGAGACCCTGTCTCAGTGGTCCTCAACCTTCCTAATGCTGGGACCTTTAATACAGCTCCTGACGTTATGGTGACCTTCCAACTGTAAGATTATTTTCATTGCTACCTCATAACCATGATTTTGCTACTGTGATGAATCATAATGTAAATCTCTGATGTTGAGGATATCGGA